ATTTATGTAATACAACAATGTTCATGGAGATAGTTCTACACATAGAGTTACCCCCTTTAAACGGTTCTACATAACTTTATAAAACACAACATTGTTCATGCAAATAGTAATTTATAAAGCACAATAATGTTCATGCTAATAGTTATAAAGCACAAGAATATTCATGGAAATAGTCATAAAATGCAACAGTGTTCAAAGCTATAACTAAACATGTGGGAGAATAGGTGGCGTCAGTAGTCTAGTGGTAAGGCCTGGTAATCGTGAGATTGCGGGTTTAGGGCTGTGAAGCTCAGCTTGGTCCAACATTGTGTCTTTGGAATGAAGGAAATAAAGCAAACACAACAATATTCATGGAAATAGGTATAATAAATCCGTACGTCAGAGAAAAGCTGACTTCAGTAGTCTAGTGGTAAGGCTACTGGACTCGAGATCAGTGAGATTGTGGGTACAAGGGTCTGAGGCTCATTAGGGTCCAACATTGTGTGCTTGGGAAAGGCACTTTATGCAAATTTTCTCATTTGGCTTGGTCCTATCGGATGTAAACATTAAAATCAGAGATCTCACTTCATAGAAAGCCTCATAGCATTGAAAAGGGTGACATACCCATACATTTAATTTAGTTTTAGAGAATAGTTTTTCCAAAAAAATGTTTCCCATCTATACTATATGTCTGATGTTGTGGAATGGCTCCTGGCATTTTTCCCTTATCGACTTTTTTGCTGGAAGGTGTTTATTCTAATCTGTGACAGCAACTGCTGGTCTCATTAACATTGTTGTTTTATGATTTGTAGGGAGTTCTTATGATAGTGTCATCTTGGCGTCTCGTGGGATGCCTAGCTGATTCTCCTCATGAGAGACAGTAATCATGAGAATGGACAAGGTCTGGGGGGGTCAAGGGAATCATTAGTAATCATGAGAAGGGACAAGGTCTGGGGGGTCAAGGGAATCATTTTTGGAGTCATGTTGGCCTTGCATTGGAATGAACTAAGATAATATTCATGACACGTCACTTTTTTCAAAGAAAAGACTCTCACGCCCCCACCCCTGACCTCGCTGTTTAAGCGTAAGGTTGTTGTATTTTTTTTCCGGTTATCATCCCCTGAGTTAATGCAAATGGATTAATTTCATTTGTGAAATAATTGTTAGGACTTTTGACTTTTAGTTGCTATTTAAAACCTTCCAAAAAATCCCCCCCCCCCCCCCCCCCTTAAGTAGCTGTGCAGATGGTTGGAAGATCCACTGGAAGATTCTTTATTTTTCCCTCTGTTGTTTCCAACTGCCTGCCTTACTTTTCCCCTGCCCTCAAGGGGGCGTTATTTTGCTATTCTGTACCTAAACAAACTCAATTGATAAAGTTGTTTTCCGTAAAATGTTTAATCAAAAGATATCTCCCCCCCCCCCTCCCGCTTCTCTGTGTGTGATTCGCGGGGCTCTGGTGTGGTTTCCTCCTTTTTTACTATCAAACATCTATCGTCCTTATCTCTCCTTCTTTTTTGTGTTTGTTACTCTCTTGTAACACCTCTAATCTTCGGCACTTATATGACCTTATTGTGTTGCAAGTGCCGTAAACCCTTACTAAAACAAACCCCCCCCCCTCCCCTCCCCCCCCCTCTCTCTCTCTCTCTTCCACCTCGTGTGCCACAGAGGGACCCAGGCCTCTTTCAGCCAGGCAGAGCGAGTGACCCTTGAACCTGTCCAGGCCACCGACTCCCTGCACTCCCTGAGGCCAGAGGCCTGGACCGAGGTCTCCCAGCTGCCCGAGGGGCTCGGGGGGCGTGTCATAGAGCCTCAGCTGACCTCCGACCCGGCCCAGGAGACCTCCGGGGAGAGTGCGGCTCCCGCCGGGGGAGGAGGTCGGGCAGAGGAGGAGGCGGGTGTCGGGGAGGAGGAGTTCCCCACCTTTGGACAGTGGTCAGTGCAGTACCTTGCCGAGCAGGAGAAGCAGAAGGCGGAGACGGGTGAGCTTTTTCTTTCTTTCTTTCTTTCTTTCTTCCTTTCTTTCTTTCTTTCGTTCTTTCTTTCTTTTCTTTTTTTTCTCCTTTCTTTTTCTTTTTGTTGTCTCGTGTCCTGATTTTGGTGCCATTATTTGTAGATTACGTAAAAATGTGTTGACATGGTGCCTGTTGTTATGTTTCGAGAAAAACAAAACAAAAAAAATATTGCGAGTGCCATAATACTCTTAATGAACTAACTAAAACAAGAAAAAGGGGAATTAATTAGTCGATGATGATGAGGATAGGGGTGACGATGATGATGGAGACGGGTGAGCTATTTTGTTTGTAGTTTTGTTCTTGTTTTTTTATGTGGGTGGTTGAAGGGCGCTACTAGTAGGTCCCAACTTTTTTTCTTTTTTTTTCTGTTGTTTCGGTCCTTTTGTCTCTCTTTTTTTCAGCAGTAAATAGCTGCTGTTGTGTCGGTATGCTTCTTTTTACTCCCGACAAGACAATTATTGCATTGTGATAAGATTAAGATGGTCATTTAGTGTCTTTGCTTGTGTCTTTATGGCGAGGGGATGGGGGTAAACATGCCGGTCAACATCTTCTACTCAGGTGCGTATTTCTATTTGATCTATTCAAATTTTATCTATGATCCTATAGATAAATAAGGCCTGAGTGATTAAGTGATAGAAGGATAGTCCTTTGGATAGTCCTGTGATATATATGTCTTCAAAGATAGTACGTTGCAAGGTGAACGATTATCTACTTAAAGTTAAAGTGGTCTCTTTAAAAGATATGCGCATTTTTGTTTGTCACATCTGCTGCTTATAAAATCATTCTGTTTTGTGTGTCCATTAAAAGTTCTTCTACCTTTTCTCTGCGGGTTGTTGGAGGGCCCCACTGGTAGGTTCTGCTTCTTTACTTTTCCTCTGTTATTTCTGTCTGTCTCTCTGACTTTTTCTTAGCACTAAATAACCATTTTTGTGTTGATGTGCTTCTCTGTACTCATCATTTTTATAAAATACGTCACTCCCAATCAGCGGGTGGTTGGCGGGTGCTCTGGTGTGGTCTGCTTCTTCTTTCCTATCAAACATCTATCGTCCTTATCTCCCCTTCTTCTTTTTTATGTTTGTTACTCTCTTGTAACACCTCTAATCTTCTGGCGCTCATACGACCTTATGCAGTTGCGAGCGCCGTAAATCTTCTACTAAAACAAACTCCCAATCAATAGTATCACATGTGGTATAATTAAAATGTTGCAACCACGTGTTTCTGAAGATGGGTTTTTTTTGTCTTTGGGGGGTTTTTTGGGGTTTTTTTTGGTAAGTGTTTTACGGCGCTCGCAACTGCATAAGGCAGGTCATATGAGGGCTGTTTTTGTTTGTATCTCAAGTGGAGGTGGGAACCATCCTGTAGTGTGCAGTCTTTGATATGGTCACAGCTTGTAACTGCGAAAGTAAGATGGATGGTGGCCTTGTAGTAATGGTCAATACACTGGTCATCTGTCTCAGGTGGTGACTTATATCGTTGACCCTCCTGTGCTGTGGCAAACAGTTAGCTCGGTCAACAACGTGCTGCACTTCAAAAGGAGATGCTTCTGGTTCAAATGCCTGACGGGGGTTGTAGATCAATTATAACAACAACCAACCTTATAAGGTGATGTGAGAAGTTCTCACATCTCTTGCCCTCCTACTGGACTCGACCTTGTCAGAGATTGAAGCATGGGTGGTCGGCGGGTGCTCTGGTGTGGTTTGCTCCTTTTCCTATGTTGTTGTTATCGATCCAGCCTTCTTTTCCTATAAAAATTATATCGTATCTATCTCCCCTCCTTCTTTTTTGTGTTTGTTACTCTCTTGTAACACCTCTAATGTTCGGCTGTTATATGACCTTATTGTTTTGCAAGTGCTGTAAAACGCTTACTAAAACTTTTAAAAAAGAGATTGAAGTTACGTCCTGTGTCTTAGGTAGCACCGCTTAGATAAACTCAAAACTCAGACTGTGAAAACCTTGTGTTCCTGAAATCCCCGAACTTACCTTGGTCCTGTCTGTCGGAGATGGATGTTCAGTCTGAGGTTCTTTCTTTCTTTCTTTCTTTCTTTCTTTCTTTCTTTCTTTCTTTCTTTCTTTCTTTCTTCTTTCTTTCTTTTTTTCTTTCTTTCTTTCTTTCTTTCTTTCTTTTCTTCTTTCTTTCTTTTTGTCTTTTTTTTCTTTCTTCCTTTCTAGACATTGTCTGTCCACTGCAGGATGCAGTCCTCCAACAGCCAACCCCATTTGTTTTATTAGCTGTTTTCCATGTATCTGTCAGCTCTTTGATATTATCTTGCCACCGTCTTTGTGGTCTTCCTCATGGCCTTCGGGTGAGACTTTTCATATGCTGGAAGGAGCATTAAATAGTACCAGTCCAACCTCTTCCTCTACACAAACTGATCTGGAGTGGGTGGTTGGCAGGTGCTCTGGTGTGGTTTGCTTCTTCTTTCCTATCGAACCACTATCGTCTTTATCTCCTCTCCTTCTTTTTTGTGTTTGTTACTGTCTTGTTACACCTCTGATCTTTGGCACTTATATTACCTTATTGTGTTGCAAGTGCCGTAAAACTCTTACTTAAACTAAAACTGATCTGAACCACCGCTCCTAGTGTCTGCTGTATGGAAGTGTTAAGTGGTGTCTGTGGTGTTGAGGTTAGGCTCTTTCCTTTGCATGAGTAGAAGATATGAGTTTAGCTCTCAAGTGGGGAAGTTAAATTTTTTTTTATTTCGGTCAGTCCTCTGGTATGTTGCATCCCACTCAGTCTGACGGGTAGGGTGGAAGCAGCTTACCTTCCATATTGTCTGAATTGTGTGTCAGTGGGGATGTATAATGCCCATAACAACAACCACAACCACCACCATGACCACCACCACAACGACAACAACAACAATGACATAGTGTTGTGTTTCTCGGTACAGAAGAGCCGTCTCCTGTTGTGAAAGCCTCCCAGAAGAAGCTGCGTCAGAATTTTGCTGCGGCGGCATGTGGCGCCAAGGTCGTTTCGAGCAATGCGGAGGCCGAGCACACGAGCTATCTCCTCAACGGGAACCCGGATGAGTACATGATCTCCCCGTGCAAGGCTAAGAAATGGTGAGTTGGCAGGGTCTGGTGCTGATTTGTTGGT